TGTTGTTGCTGTTTTTAGGCTTCTAATATTGTTTATACTATAGCGACTCACACAAGCACGCACTCACGCACTGGCACGCACGCATACACATACACTCACCAGCTGCTGCAAGAAGAGAGCAAAGAGAACGTTTATTAAGTAAGTTTTAATTACCTATCGATTTGCAAGTTGCTAATATATGCGCCTGTCCATTCAGGTGAGCGCGTATATTGCTCATCATTTTCATCTTCATTATTATCGCCGGTGTCATAATTCACATTCGGCTGGGTGGCCAGCCGAGGCTCATCGCAGCGTCGGCGTTTTCGAAATATCCCTAAGAAATTCTCCAGCATACCTCTTTTATTCTCTAACACGCACACAAAAACGCACACATAGACAAACAAGTAAACAACTAAAATTAACACTGATTTTGTTTTGATTTAATTGTTTGCAATTCAATGGCTAAAAAGATGTTTGTAGAACTTTCCAGCAGCATCTGGGTATCGCGCTCTGAAATTTTATTTCGTTGAAGAATAATAGCTGAAAGAATTTACCTGAAGCGTTTTAGCTGTTACCAAGTAAACTACTTAATTTTATAKTATTGATTCGGCTTTCWAGCGAGAATTTTCAATAAAATTGCTTCGTTCCTGTTTACTGTGTTGCTTGCCGTAAATGTTGTGTGCTGAGTTTTCGTAAGAACATATTTAAGCCATGCTGTTCCGATTTAATTTAACTTGTTACTTCTTGGTTTTACTATTCATTTATTTGCTGTATCTTATTTTACTGCGCTTCACAATTTAACATTTTTCTTTTTTTAACAAAAAAAATGGTATAAACAAGGGTCAGGTTAAAAACAGTGTGACCGTCTCATCGAATGTTCTGGTATTTTGGATGGCATGACATCACGACGATTAATCGATTTGACAGTTCAGATACTTAGTATCGATTAAATTCTACCGATACGGTCACTCTTTTGCGTTCGATATTGATTTACTTATGAGCTAATGGCGCGGAAAATTTAAATCTCGCACGCACAGCGCCGTGCGCGACCATTGACAGGATTTGGTTATCACATCGAAGAAGTAGTAGAACGGGCACTGCTGCAACGTAGCATGACCTTTGACACAATAAATGAAGAATTCACAGCGCTGCATATGCGGATATAGATGCTGTCCATAGGCAGGGCAATGCAATAGCTCACTCGTAATATCACTTGGTGGCCTCACGGGCAGTGTATTCACTTCYAAGGTACATTTCGCCCGCTCTGGCAGATCACATTTGGCTGTCACTGCATTCCAATGCAACTCCTCACTGCACTCCTGCAGTATCGCCTGTCCGTAGTAGCAGATGTAATACTTACTACAACTAGACGAGCTGCCCACATAGACGATGTGATCATTGCCCGCCTGCGGCGTTAAGGTAGCACAATACTTGGCCGCATCTGTGATCATGCTATTGAGATTCTGCTCATTGTTTGTGGGAGGAATGACAATATCCTGGTTCGTCTTATTCTGGCATCCGGCATTGGCGGCCGTATCGCAAATTTTGTTCAGCTTATTGTAGAACATATTTGACGGGCACGAGGCGAGCAC